AATAAAAATTATATATATATAAAAAAAGAAAGATCAGTGGCTACATATGCCTGATGGGTCCCAAACTGTCACGTACTGCCTCTGGCAGTCAATATATTTATATATATATTATCTGTAACTCCCTAGAGTCTATTAAGGATTGAGACAGGGATAAATCTAATCAACCCACCAATCAAGGAGAGTTGAGTTTAGAAAAAGCACACAATTTCTTTCCACCGCTTGCAATATTTTCTTCAGGGAAGGGCCCCTATTTCTTCTCAGGAGGATTTATGGAGGAATTCTTTCATATCTAGAATTCTGAGTTTAGTACAGTGTATGTATGAGCTCAGTCTTGTATGATATCTTGCAATATGCTTTTCATTCTGTGGCTCTCCTGCTGGTGCCAGGTCAGGAAGGCTGATAAGACAAATCTGAAGGCAAAAAGTAGAAGGAGGGATGAGAGACAGAGAAAAAATAAAGGTGTAGAAAGAGAGTTGAAGGAGTGGATATGTATTTGTGAAGAGATGTGTCATCCCTCTCTGTATATAACCAAACAGAATATGGGGTTAGATAGCTCTGTGTGAGTGCGTGTAAATGAGGGGTATGTCATTTGGGCTGTAAGGTTCTGAAGAAATTATCTCTAAGGGAGAGAGGCACTAGAGAGTTGAATTAGAGTGTAAGGGTATAGATGCTGCTGAAATTTGGCTTGTTCATTCTCCCTTTGTTTGAACATTTATTTATGGATTTGCTAACTAACTAAATGATAATGCATCTCCAGCTTTGCTACCCAGATACTGCACATACAGAATCCACTCTGGTCTTTCTAATATTAATATTATTATAAGTCATATTTTCCACATTAGTCTCCACACCATTTAAAGATTTTTGTTTCTTTAAATCTAAGGTGGCCACAGTAAAGATGGAGAAAACAAGCTGCTGCCACAAGGGAACAATCAAGACAACAAACCTTTAGAGCCTTTAGCAGAATCTGTAAACAGATCAACAGACAAAGACTTTCCTACTTTCTTCAGTGCTATGAACTATAGGTAATGTGCCACCTGGATGAAGCGTGCCCCCAAAACCTTAATTAATGGAATTCAGTCCAGAGCAGCATGAAATTCAGTGAATATACACTGAATTTGCCAGTTACATGCTTGCTTAATATAGTTTATGACGGAGGAAAAGCTAGTAAATATTTACTGTTGGTTTTGAAATAGGATTCAGGGTGGAATTATTTTCGTCACTATCTCAGAATTGACTTGGGGATTCTTCATGTTCTGTATGCATTCTTCTCCAAAGATTTAGTGATATCAAGCTTTTTGAGGATGGAGGAATACCAACAGAAGAATTTCTGAAATCTTGTTATGAAATAGTTCCAGTCTTGGGTAAGTATGATTGCTGGGTTTCTCCATAACATTTACTGTATATGAATATCTCTGTTTGGGCAATTTTGGATGGATGAAAGTAAAAACTGGGTCGTAGAACAAATTCTGTAGTTTGTAGGTGGGTAGTCCTTAGTTATCTTCAGTGTCAGTTGGTGGCATTAGGCTCTGCCAGAGGAATTCAGTAGGGAAAGTATGTCTTTTTCATGATAGACAGGAAGATAGAGAATTATTTGAGAAGCTGTGGATTAGGGGCATTGGTGGCAGGAAAGCATCTTGAGAATGAGAATAATGAGCTTGATTAAAGGGATTTTTTAGGCAGGTGACAGCAGATTTTTTTTTTCCTGAAGGATGTCTTGGCATGTATGATGTCTGAAATGAGCCTTAAACAAAAGTACATCGTTGAAGGGTTGTTGTTTTTTTAAATCTGCGCTCAGTTGTTACCAACTCTGCAGTGACTGCTTGGACGTTGCAGTTTTCAAGGCAATTGTTTCGGAAGTGGTTTGCCAGAGCCTCCTTCCTAGAGCAGA